CTCCTGCCATAAAGATGGAGGGAGTAGAAGGGAAAAGGGTCTTCCTGCTTGAGCTGCCTGAGACCTCCTATTCATCCCTAAGGGACCACTGGTCCACTTCAGGTCCCTGCCAGTTAAGATGCACCTGTGAAGGTGTTCTGGGGTATTGCCATTGAGGGTGGGCTGCTCCTCCAGTACAGGGAGAGAGGCCGGGGTCCCCGTCTGGGGGAAGGAGTGCTCATCTCATCCTGGTTAGAGAGACCAGCCTTGCACTCTTTTACTGCACTGTGAGTTCTGCATCAACAAGCCCTAACTCAGGTGCTCTGTCCTAGGGTTTTCACACAGCAGTTTTCACTCAATAAACTTGTGTTATTGAACTGGACATGAGATTGGGGAAAGAGCTGTGTTTTCACGGGTTACTTATGTCTCCTGGCTGAGCTCAGTCTCTCCATCTGCAAGTCAAGAGGGTTAGCTGGGCTGGATGCTGGGTCGCCTTCTTCCTCCTACCTATGATGGTGGTGGGTTTCACCAGCCTCACCACCTCCTCCAGGGAGTTCACTTCAGGATGGTCTTGGGCGAACATCTCCTTCTCATGGTTCAGGTGGCTCCTCCCCTGTAGGAAAAGAAGGAACACAAAGCAGCTGCAGTGGTGAGGGCCTGTTGGGCAGGGCTTTGGATGCATTTGGAAACTCTGAGAGCATTCCCTGCTGGGTCCCATGCTTTGGTCTGAGCTATCAGAAGTCTTGGGGCCTGTCTTCTTGATCAGATTTCCTGGTAGAGCCTAAGTTGTTGTTGTTGTTGTGTGTGTATGTGTGTATTTCTTTAACCCAAACCACATATGAAAAATCCATAAAGAATTTCTTTGAGCTCCTGGGATCATGTCTTCCTGGACCAGGACAGGAGGGCACTCAGGAAATGCCTGAGTTTGACCAATACCCGTGGCCCCAAGGCATCCAGCACCCAGGACCTGAGCCACCTAGGGTCGGGGAACTAATTTAAATATAGTTACAAAAGCCATTAGCCTCCTTGTGAATAATACTAAGCTGAGCTCCAGAAAAGGCTTAGAATGGCCGGGTGAACCCAATCAGCTCCAGATTCTTTCCATTTTTTCACATAGAAGTTTGTGGGTACAGATACTGAAACTTCATGCAATCTCTATTTGTCCAACATTAATGAACATCCCTCCCCTTCCCCAAGAATTGATACACTTGAAACCCGAAAGATTTGGGATTAGTTCTGAAATTCCAAAACTGTGAATTCTGAATGGAATCAAATCTTGACCCACTTATTCCAGGGTTACATCTTCCAGAAAAGGGGAGACATACTGTTCACTATGTAGTGAACCGATGGTCTCATGTAGCCTTCTAAGCCTCCCACAGCCTCGCCTTTCTCAGCTTTTAAACTTTGTTTCTTGGTCATTTGAATTTTATTTTTCAATTTAGAAAAAATAGGTGCATATTTTATTGGATACAAGAATTATTTCTCTCTTCATTATGTATATTTATCAAGATAAGTATATCAAAACATAATATTTTATACCTTAAGTATGTACAAAAAAAAA